ATTTCGACCATGGCTAATTGTGACGTAACGTCTTGGATTGGTAAGTTCATGAGTTAGTCGTGATTTCCATTTATCATCATCACTGCTATAGGTACATTACGTTTAGTGGCATCGCCTTCAATGACTAAGCATTATGTTTTTACGATTAATTCTCATTTTGCTTTGTTGTAATTCTAACATGCGTCTTTTTTATTGCTCAGAAGTTTTCGACCCTCTTTGTATTTAATTTCTACATTTTGCAACCTCAGATGAAAGATCTCTCAAAGCCTCTTTAGAAATTTCCAGTAATAACTTCTGAGAATGGCTTAATAGTGCTGAAAGACGAAAAAGGTTTTTTTGTCCTATTAATGATACCAGGCAGCATCATTTGTCATTTGAGAATAGAGCTACATTTTATTATATTTGCATACTGTTATTTACATGAAGGATTTTCTCTTTGGTTTAAACAATGAATGAAATAATCAGCTTTCTATATCTCTTATTTTTTAACTATGTTGACTAGTGTTTTGATCCTGAAATTTCATATTTTAAAATGCATTTTAATGGAGACCAGAATTAACGTTACTTCTGATCCAGCAGCATAACCGTTTTTCAGAAATTGACTAATCGGACATTGCTTGATCAACTACAATCAAAACAAGGCCATTTTTACTGACGCTGGAGTATCTGAAAGTCAACATGTGGCAGAATCAGAAATGTCACTGGTTCAGCGTTAGCATACAAAGACGATGGTGACTTGTCTCTTGAACAAGTTGATATAGTTAGCAAAATGCACATTAAGCTTTCTGAAAAAATAGAAATTACGTTAGATTCATTTATTTCAAATTCCCTCAGTGTTATTTTAATGCTTAATCTCTCGCGTGCTATTTTACTTCCGTCATGAGATTTGGGCTTGACACAACCAAGTTGTTTATTTCACGTATCACACATGATGAAGGCAGGTTCGGCAGCAGTAGTTATGCTTTGGAAGACTAGGTTTCCGTTTCTTGAAAGCCTGTTTGATATCCTTCCCGATCCATGTTTAGTCTACTGGGTCACATAACGATTTTTTAAATTGCATATCTTATGCTAAAGAGCTTACCACTTCTGCAGCTTGAGTCAGGATGAATGCTGAAATGAACTGCGACTGACTGCAAAATACATCATGCTTGCTTAGATCTGCTGCTGATGTTGATTTGCCTGGTCTTACTTAGTTGGTTTGACGCCAAAACTAGTGACAGAACTAGTAGGAGAATTTCGTATTAATGTTTAATGATGCTCAGGGTGTTAGGTATTAGATCTCTTTCATGGAATGATACTCGAAGCTGACTTTAGGTCAAGAA